CGAATGTACCGAGCACGAGAAAAAATGCACGAGAAAGGAAGTTTTTCACTGTCGGAAATAATTTAATATGACGAGGTTGCACAAGAAAAAGAGGAAGAAAAGTATCTGAAAAGTACAATTAAATAAATATATAGAGCATATTATTGCTCCAATATAACTATCTACATTTATATCGCTAAATAATTCATTTCTGATGCACTTAAATATTTTATGTGCAAATATATAAATAAACATTTTTGACGGACTAAATATATCCATTTTCATAAATTTAAGAATAATATATTTCTATACGCATCCGTAAATATACCTATTCGAATTAAATTCAAGTACCGAATATTCCACGATAATAATATCCCGCGAATATATGGAAAATTTAATTTTTTAATATGAATACGAAAATTCTCAGTCATGAACGCTGCATCGCGTTTAAAGCGTTATCTCCTCGAATTTCGCAGAGGCGAGGCAGTGGCGTTATTGAATTAAGTTAACCACAAGGAAGTTTCTTTTGGACTCGCTACCGCCGGTCGAAAATTAATACCGTGGCGAAATACCATCCCCGTGCACTTCTTTCATCCCCGACGCTTCCACTTGCGCGAATCAAACTGACGTCGACTGCGCGGTTGTCTGTGTACGGATCTCGCGATTGAGCAGCATACGAAGGAGTACTTTTAATTCTGCGATAAGCAAAATTGCCTACGTAACACCACTACAACTGTAATTACAGAATTCCATCGTCGTGGCAAAAAATATTATAAAACGAAAGCCGCCTCCTTAAGAACGCGTTTAAAAGCCGAACTCGGAAAAAGCGACTCGTCTTTCTTCAGAATTGCTACTTTTAATTAATACCTAGAAAAAAAAGCGGGCGTGTTCAGGCTGGCGAGGAAAGACAGCATCCGCCGGAATACCTCCCGTGCCTTTCTCGTGAATTTTCTGTGTTTTAATTAGTTTTTTGTCCGGTTTGTTTATTCTTTATCCGTACCGCTACGCGGAAAAACGTTTTGAATTATTACTGCAAATGTACGTGCATTTCGTCAGCGCTCGTCATGACTGTGCCATTGCGATGCTTAAATGTAATTAAAGCATCGTTTTCTGTAAAATTAACTTAACTTCGTATAGTACTGTACGTTTTAACCGTACATTGTTAAAACAGAGTAGTTAGCATACGATTTTAGTGAATGCAACGAGGCTGGAAATCTCTAACTTAGCCAGTATTTCTCTTAGATTAATTATACAACATGTTATTTAATAATGACATTTCCTTTACCGAAAATACATACCTTCTTTCTATGAAAAAGAGTGGAAAAGAATGGAGACAGAATCTTCATATACAAAATCATGGAATGGAAATATAAAACATAAAACAAATGCATATAATAGAAATATAAAACAGAAATAAAATAAATATTTATTAATTGACATCTTTTTTCAATATTATATTAAATAAAAAATATTTTGAAATTCATGAAAAAGTTATTTCATATTAAAATCTAAAGCTCCGAATAAAATGTAATAACAGAAACAAGAAAATCTTATTTTACAGTTACTTAATTTTAAAAATGGACTTCTTTTGAATAAAAATTTTATTTCAAACTTTTAAAATAAAATATTAAATTGTTATAAATTAGAAATCTGCTTCAAATTTTAAAGCTGTTACTATTTTAGAAAGCTACATGATAATTCTATATTAACTATAAATTATATAACAGTTCTATGTTTTATATGTATTGTTTATTTTAATTAATATTTTTTTGTACCTAATATTTTTACCTAATATTTTATTTCGCAATTTGTCTCATTAAAATATTATCTCTACTTTCATTGATTGATTGCATCATATGTCTTTAAATAATCCAAAAAGACATATTGAGATATTTATTTGAATTGAATAAACCTATATAGAGCGAGAGCAATGTAAAAATTATTCAAATGCAATTTCAATTTTATAATGATTGAAAATCAATAATATATGTATTTTTAGAAAATATATTATAACAGTATTATTTTTTTATAAATATATATAAATAAAATAATACAATAAATATGCCATATAAATAAGCATAAAATCATTGAATCATTGACAACTGATGATTTCTCTTCATTTCTACTTATCACTTTACCATATTTAATCTGCTAAATTAGATTTATTACATATATTCAATGTATATATTCAAAAAGATAATATGTTAGAGAAACATTTTTCTACCGAGAAAAGTTCTGAATTTTCAATTCAAGCCAGTTTTTCGTAATGTCACATTTCGCAAGTTTTTTTCGCGCTGAAACTTCAGTGATTTCTAAAAGTTTCCGATGACGACGTCGAAAAAGGTTTTCGATGTCTGTGATTACGACGGGATTTAAAAGACGATAATAATTTCTTACTAAAAAATCCAATAAAATAAAAAGTCGCCGAAAAACTGATTGATATTCGAAGGACAGTTATGCGAGAAAATCGATGAATCTTTTACGATTCCATCAACAATACTGAACTAACTGAATTAGCGAATCGTGCTAACTTACGATTTTTTACGAGCACCGTGTATATCACGACACCTACTGGTCGTCGCAATCGCGCCTCTGTAAAATTTGTCAACGAGAAAAACCAATCTTTAATAACGACCGTCCAGGACCGTTCTTGCCGAGAATATTTTATTTCCGCCCGCGAGCCATAAAAGTACTTTAGATACGGTAATGCGAAAAATTTTCGACTTAACACCTCTAAAGATGCCCATGAATTTTTTCACGGTCTTCTCCTCATTTTCATTGAAATTACACAGAGAGCGCAGCTCGAATATTATTTCAGAAAATATATATTAATACGCGAAGGCAAATAATGATTTTAAAATACTTCAGATGCGTTAGAAAATGTTATTTGAATTACATTGTTTGCCAACCCTTTTTTCCAATCCGAATTTTTAGTAGTCCAAATTACTTCCATCCAACACCAACTTTACTACGTATATGTCCTGTCTAACTTATTCTCGCAAATAGGCGAATGTTTCGTGGGTTCCGATTCACGAACTTGCGAGTCGGGTTTGTTTTATGGCAGCACGCGAAAGAGTTGCCCGAGGTACATCGGGCGTATGCATGATTACGATAAATCTCAATGGAAAGCCAATTACTCGCGGCTGGTTGGGGGAAAAGTTAGCGGGAGCGCGTTAATGGGTTTAAGTGAATGGTACAGTAAATTGTGCTATCTACGCCGCTGTTTTAGTTTCTTCGGCTGTAAATTCAGCGGGCGGGTAGAAGGGGTGGTGCATTTAATATAGGCTCTCGTAAATCCCGACTAAGGCAACTAAATCTTGAAAAACTCTCGAATCGCGAGCAATACGCCGCGACTACTTCGCGCTCGCAAAAAAATTCCCAACAGAATCTAAAGCCTCCCTGTCGGACTTCGTCAACGCGGATAAATATCATCGTCGCGGTCTTTGTATCCGTCTTTACGCATCTTTACCGCGTTAACCCTTTATGTCCTCTATCACTCTTTTAATACAGTCTAAAACGCGACGTTCGTACGCGCGCGACAAATGCTCACGCGCGAACGCTCAAAGGAACACAGTCTCGAGGAACGTAATTCGCTCTCGGAGCATTTCCCCTCTTTTCATCGGAGCCGCTTCTGGAACAGTGTATCACCCTCTTTTTCTCTCCTTCCCTCTCTCCCTCCCTCCCTCTCGCCGTTGTTCTCCTGCCCTCTCGCCCTCTTCTTCCTTCACCGTTCTCGCTTTACCTATGCGTGCGATTTCGCAAAATAAAAACGACACGCCAAGTCTCAGACGCTCCAAATTTGTCGTGACAAAAATACGCTTTATCGCACGCCGCCGGGCTCCCAGACACTACGGCAGAGGTAGACTTGTCTCCGGGCTTCCACCGCAGTACCGCATTAAGGGTGCTCGACGCGCGTCCGGGCGCACACGTACTACCAACACATGACCGCGATTATTACCGAATATTTTATGCGTCTACTCGCGCGCACGTCTAGACACGACTTTAAACTAGATTACCTCTTATAAACTCAATCCGCAATCTTATGGACCGAGGAAATTAATATGAGACAGCGTGATATACTCGCTGTCGTCTTACGAATTGCGGTTTTCTTCACCATTAACTCTTTGTGCGCACAAAATTTGACGATGCGCGACGAAAATACGATATGATGGAATTAACAATGCATTGTTTGTAATAAAAAAACAACGAGGAAGAGGCTCGCGTGTCAAAGGAAAAACAAAAGGCGCGAGAAAGAACGGTGGAAAAAATGGTCGTGCTATAATTTATTTATCCGGGCACTGAGCGGGAGCGAACAAGCGGGCTCTTAATCCCGCGGTGGCTTCGAATGCGCAAACGTCTCGTCGCGGTTAGTTAACCACCGTCTATAAATAGCCACGACGACGGCATAACATTATTTTTCCAAAGAAACGACGCATCGGGCTGTCTCTCCTCGAAATCCCCGCTATTTCGTCGTCTCCGTCCGCCTCCCTTGCGCTTTTGCAGGCCGTTGCGCGAAAGACGCCGTCGCGAGAATTCTGATGCGACGCATACATTTAGTTAAATTAAGAAACTTGCGTTTCGCACGCTCTCTCGAGAAAAATCTCGAGGCAGGCTAATAAATTTCATCACGGTGACGACACTATCTAGTGAAGACAGTGTCGTATTCTAAGGATTAAGAAATAGATCTACGATTGAAATATATTGTTAAATATCATTCAATATCATTTCTCCTAAATGAAGATTTGATCTAATTCACATGCTTATATTCTAAATTGATTTCGCATATTTATATAATATTTCGAGATTTCAGTTTTCGAATAATTAAATTTCGTTTAAATTGAAAAAAATATATTATTCTTTATATGTTATATAAAATAAGTATATAATTTCTATCTTTGATATCTATATGTGATCTAAGTCGTATCTAAGTATCTCGTCGTTTCATGATTTTGCAAAATCTAATTACGTTACGCGCTTAATACCAATTGATCCCGGACTAATTAACTGGATTTCTGTTACAGATGCGCGGAGGGCTTCACGGGACTGCGGTGTGAGACGAAGGACGTCAGCAGTACCGGAAGTGTGTATAACCGACATAGGGTGCCCTTTTCCTGCAAGCTGGGACTCTCTACCTCGTACTACTGCTAGCAATAATCGCGCGGGGCCCTTTAACCATGAGTAGACCCTTTTTATATATACCCTTGCGGTGTACTTGGAGCCCACGAGATAGAGTCGTGAGAGGGCCAACGCGCGACCAAAGAGGGAGGGGAAATCGTGCGAACGGAGAAAGATAGGGCGATTTAGTGACACGGAAGGAGAAACGATGACGAGGGCGAGATGATTGAGCAAGGGAGAGAGAGACAGAGAGACAGAAAGAGAGAATTAGAAATGACGAATTTCGGTTCCGTCGATCTCGGGCATTAGGACGGGTCCTGCGTACTTTATTATATAGGGGCAGGTTCCACAACAGTTCGGACCGGGCATTCGTACCTTCTTTAATTTTTACGATAATCGTTACTTTTACATACTTCTCCTACTCTCTTCTTTCTTTTTATTTGTTCTTTTACTTATCTTACTTATCTTCCTTTTTATTCTCTATTACTTTTTATTCGTTCTTCTTGTTTTTTTTTTTATTTCTTTCGTTTTACTACTTCTTTTTATTCTTTTACCGCTTCTTCTTTTTCTTGTTTCCCTTTATCTTCTTCGAATGCTATTACCAGTACTTTCCTTCTAGAAAATGTCACTGCGCGACGCACTCGCGCTTCCGCGGAAAGTTGTTCGACAAGAGAAAGGGAGAATGGAGATGACAGAGAAAGAATGGGTGGCGGTGTGAGAGATCATGAATGTGCAAATGAGCGTGTGTCAGCGTGCGAAAGGGGGAAGAAAAAACGAGGACGCGTCGGTCTCTCGGCTCTCCCAATGCTCTTCTTCGACGTCGTATCATCGGAGGAGAGCTCTTGAGCAACTATCGAGGATTCGAATGGCGGTGTTTGACTACGTGAAAAACCGCCGTCGAGAACAACGACATGGAAGCGCGCCGGGGTCTGTGGTGTGTGTCGCACACTTTTCCGGAGTCTTCGCGAACAGGAGAACAATACCAAAGAGCCCAGGGTCTCGATCAAGGATTGATGCGACAGATCGTCGCCTGAAGGCGAACAAGGACGATGCGAAAGGTCTTCACTCCTTCTTTTGGCCCAAAGTCTTTTCTCTTAAAATCACAATGATCAGCGTATGTTCAGGTTGAGTGGCTCGGCAAAATCAAACCTCGACAATTAATAAGACTGCGCCATAAAATAAGGCGTGAAAAAAAAACGAAGAAAAATTGTGAAAAGAGTAGTTCTTGTTTTCCTAACTCAAAGTGTTAAATTTAAAATTTCTTACGAAAACTCGTTAATTGTATCTAAAGAAAACGGAGAAACATCTCCGCGAAAAGTAATTTCGGTATATTAAGCTTGCGCTTTAAATTAGTTTTTTTTTTTTCGACTTTGTTTTTAAGTTTATTGTTCCATGGCAAGGTTTTATTGAAATCGTCGAACGTGCAGGAAGTCTAGGAAACTTATAGCCGTTGCATGTTTGTCGCAACATTTTATCGGGAGGTTACGAGGTCGGCTGTATATAAAGTAAAATAATGCAACAAGCGCGCGCGTTTAGAAAAGATCTTAAGTTTTCTACTTTTGCGTTTTAGGAATATGGAAACAAAGACAACAAAAATACCTGTAAAGTAAATTCTAGTAGAAAAAATTTCGGAAAATGCCCATGAGCAATATTTCCGAAGTTTGCGCAAATGCAAATTAAGAATCGCGTTCGTCGTATATTGCGTAGAATAATGCCGTGAAAGGAGGAGACGGAACTCGGCCAATCAGCAAGCAAGTTGTGGGAAAGAGACCACGGGGCAAAAACGATTTAATGTAAAATACAGTAGTGTAATGCATTAGACTAGCTAAAAAGCAGAGATATAAGATAGATAAAAGAAAGAGAGAAAGAGAGAAAGTCGGAAAGAAAATCGCGAGAACGATAGTGACTCCTCATCTCGATGAGGAAGGAGATGCGGAGTTGATCGAGAGGTTTTTGAGAGGAATTAATAATCCGATCTCAAAAATATTCTTCGCCCTTAAAACCGACGACATGTAGAGCATTTATGAAGTGCTCATTTATTTTTGTTCTAATTAAAAACTCGCAAGTGTTCCTATTAAAAGAAATGTTAATAATGTTGCGACAGGCGAAAATTGTGGAAACAAGTCGGACGAAATTCCGGAAAAATTCTATCGAGAGACGATAATGATCTCATCTGTCAGAAACCTCGACGATGACGACTTTCGCGCGTAAGTAAAAAACGGCGGGTGTACGCGAGAGAAGCGAGGAATGCGCGCTGTGCTCCAGCAGTCTCGGGACCCTATTTATGTTTTATATTATATTATATATATTATATATATATAAATATGTGTATAAACTATTTTTAATTTATTTATTTAATTCATTAATTTTATTGATTTACGATTAAACGTCATCTCCACCTCGGCAACTGCCTTTGTTGTTAATCTTCTGTTGACCTTTCTGCACTACTGCACTTTTTCATTTGCGTCGCTTTTCATCTGGATCCGCAAGAAGAGCACTCGAAGTCTTTCGCCTCAATTTTCCATAAATACCAAGACAAAACAGGTCAAAGTATAATCTGAGAAATTGAATTCTAAAACAAGAGTCAAAATTTCTGTTCTTTCTTCTCATCTCATGCATTTCAAACGACATTTCTCTTCGATAAAATATGTGATAAAATATTTTGTACTGCCATATTTTTAATATAAAAAAGGAGAGAAAATAGTGTTCATATATAAATAGACGGAAAAAAGAGATATTTTAAATTACGACAGTACGATTTCAATATAGTCGTCTTTCTTTCTGAAAGATCTTGCTTAAATAAATATCTTACGCTCCATTCTATTCTATTATATATTATTGTGGTGAAAGCTTTCGTCTCGCTCTTCAAGCTTTCGTTGTTACCAAGCAGGTAAGTGTATTTTATTTTTTTTATTTTGTTATATTACGTTTTAATACCTATATGTATTATTAATTTGCATTTTGTTTCGATTTTTTTCATCAAAATGATATAATGCGAAAATTTTAGAGCTACATAACGTAAATACCGTCGATTTTCAAACGGCTCATTTCGCGACGTTACACGGCATCATATTAATTATGCGACGGATTTTCTCCTTGACATCTGAAACCGTGTGACAGTTGAAACGCGTGATAGCGAAAATTAATTACAAGTATATCACAAACAATTAAAGGTTGTATTCAAATGGGAGTTATATGAAACTGAACCAAACACTTATAGCAGAAAATCGAAAACAAAATGTTCATTTTCAAAATGAGAGCAAAGATAAATCTACTTTGTTTTGTATGAATAATACTGTTATTACTTTTACTACAAAATATTTATTTACTTCGTCCTAATCGTTCTTATTAAATTCGCCAGAGACAAAATTTTCGACGCGAAAAATATTTTAGGAAAACTAAAATAAGATAGAATTTCAAGAAAACATAAGAAAAATTTTTATACTTGACGGACGATTCGTTGCTTCTTTCAACATCTTATTGCATTCCAACGGGTCGTTTTGGGACAAGTCACTTCTCTACTCGAGGAAATAGCTCTACAAGTATTTTCTTGCGGAAAACTGGGGAGCGATGCGTAAATAACGCAAACGGAAGGGAATGACATAAATTTCTAAATCGTCAAAGGATAACTTTTAGAAGGGTGAAAATTGATGGGAGTGGAAATATGCGGGAAAAAACATGTACATTTATTTATGTTTAACTGGCGATAAAGTAAAACGGCAGCATAATTCGTAACATGGAAATATGAAAAGTAACACTATATTGTAATGGAGATATCTATCACAGTCGTAAAAAAAATTGACGAAAAATATCTTAAGAAGAAAGAACAATAAAAAGTAAAATTATTCTAACGCAATCTAAATATAATAATTATTCAAAACAAAAAATGTTACTGAAATAATAATAACGTTTTAACTAACTTATTAAATCAAATACTTAAAACAGCTTTTTATTTTTAATTATATATATTATATATAATTCAAAGACTCTCAATGTATCTTGATATTTTGGAAAACTAGAACTCAATCTCGTAAATTTATTTATTGAAGTCTTACAAATTTAGTGACACTGTATAAAATTTTTATTTATCACTGATTTTAAAATAACCTATTCGTAATTAACTAATTATACACCAGTCTTATTGCAACAAGAGAAATGCATTCGATGTAGCATATCGATTCCGCCGCCAGATAATTAAATAAACTGTTTCATATGATGCAGCACAGATTGAAAGAAATGGAGAAACCGAGGAGCAAAAAGGTAGCATGGAGCAGACTGGACAGTAAATAACTGTGGACGAATACACGAATATTCACTCTCGACCCTAGCGTGTATTTCGCGGATTCGTCTCGTCGTAAAAAGCTTTTTCTCTTTCTTCCTCTACAGCCCATAAAATTCGAACTGCCGCTACAGCGATCTTCGTAAACGCTTCTCTTAATCGAACTTCGTGCCCTGGAAGCAACTTTCTTCAGGAGAGGATAAAGGAGGGGAGGAAACATGTACTGAGGAGGATCGGGGACGTGTTATCGATGGAAACTTATCGAAAATGCGGACTTGCCCTACCCTAAACTTTGCTTACGCGCATTTGCCTCGAATAGCTTTGATTATCAGAAGTGAGACGACGGAAAGTTCTCGAACGTGTCATGCTATCGGACATCCTTTGCGGTGATGGACGAACCACGTGAAACTCGTAGTTGAAAATTCATGATGCAGTAGGTAAAGTGGACAACACAATCTCTACACAAACAATACGCGTAAATAAAAAAATGCAATTTAAAATATAGAACAAGATATTTTTAACATATACATATGAGCAAGCTATACGTCATTACACACAACGTAAACTATTCATTGGAATAAAAATACTATCAAAAGTTTCATGTTATGATACAAAATATTACGGAAAATAAATAAAATAATATTTTTAAGTTTTTAAATAAAATTTGTACGCATAAATTTTTTAAT